TTTATATACAACTAAACACGCAAGAACAGTTTAACCTGTTTATTACTACAGTTATAATACATACAAGCTACAAGTTTGGCGTATCAGGGGCTACTCACTCTATACCAAAACGATTAAACTTACTAATAGGATATTTAAAATTTAAAGAATCTGGACTCTGAGGTGTCCCAGAGTAGCTAGCAAATGATCGAGCAAGACTCCAAAGATACAGAGAAGCAACTAGACCCTGGACGATTCCAGAGAAGCTACTAGACTCTGCGAGCGACCCAGGAGAAGCTGCATGAGAAATGGAATATTCAACGACTACGGCTAGACCCTCAACGATATGAGAGAAGCTGAATATGAATATTTACCCCATGTACCTATTTTTATAATACGGTCAAAGGTGGGACCTTGCTTACTATAAAAAATAAATTCTGATGTGAATGGATTTTCATAAGGTAAAAACTGAAGTAAGTTGGCCGTGTGCGACACCTAGACAATAGGTCCAGCTAACTCTACATTGTCCGAGGTGATCAACACTCTACATTGTCCGAGGTGATCAACACTCTACATTGTCCGAGGTGATCAACACTCTACTCCAGGTAAGCTTTTCACGCTGTCCTTCACACCAGTCAGTGGAAAACGACTGTCGCTTGCTGGTCATAGATTTTAAAATATTTAATTAGCTAGTTGACGAAATCCTTGTTGCTACTTACGTTTTGGTGTCTTGGTCTGAACCCACTCCACCAGCTCCTCTAAGGGATAGTTACTGTACTCTCCCATAATGCTCCACTGATGCTGTAGGTTTTGGATTCCCTGGACACTCATGCCGGCCAAGACAAGAAATACAATCGCCAACTGCCTTTCTCTGCTACCAATCCAGCTAAACAACTGTAATATTAGACACGATCTAGTACGTTTTCTCTCCTGTATAACTATAGAACATCTATGATGTGAGGGGTTCTATTACAAAATTAATTCACTTTTCGATTAATGGTATTTAGGATTCTATGCTCTCTTCCAAATTAAAGGTATTTCTGGTTTAGAACGTTACGATTCATGTCCAGAAAAACTAAAACCTTGACAGGTCAGCCATGGGTAATTCATTGTGTGCCAGACCATATATGTCCCTCATTATCACCAAGTGAAAGTCACACTGATCATCTTGGTATTCCAAGCATGGTTCTTAAAGCATTACATACATATAAAATCTTACAAGTATCATTTACCCCAAAGTAAGAACTTTATCGGACCAACAGAACAGAAATGTCTGCCTAAAAGGCTAGGTCTCAGCCAATTAGAAGCCACAGAGGCCAACCTGGATTATGGGATCCAAATAACATGTAATATTGTATATGTAGACCATCCACCAAGTACCAAAAAATTTTGATAAAAACAGTACTACATAACACGACAAAAGCAATACTCAATCAAAAGTGACATTGGGTAACCTTGACAGGTGGCCATCTTGGATTTTCAGGATCCTGGTAATGTATTCCATGTTATCCATCAAATACCAATCAGTACCAAAATGAACACTGGAAGGTCATAATGATAAACCAATGTATTTTTGGAAGTATAACCCCCTATTTTTTTCAAGCAGCTGTTAGCCTGACCTTGAACCTGTTGTTATTGCAAGGCAATCCATAGTCACCCACTGATAATGATTTCTATATTTAACAAACAGTACATTTATGTCAGGATGACCCTACTGTTAGGAAAGTATCCCGATACAAACTTCCAGCACTCCACCATCCAGAGATGTCCCTGCACAACAAATCTGGTTACTCCAGGAGAAATAGTATAGAAGATATGCCCCAGACAAACATTTTCAAAACTTAAGGTCAAAGGTCAAGTCATAGGTCACTGTGACCTAATTCTTGCACTCTGTACTCCATCATCCCAAGATGTCCTTGTACAACAAATCTGGTTACTCCAGGTGAAATAGTATAGAAGACATGTACCGGGCAATCTTCTTGGAAGGAAGGACAGAAGGATGGAAGAACGGAAGAATGAAAGGACAGAAGGATTGACGGAGGGACAGACGGAGTACAAACCTAAAGTTCTGGTGAGGGACTAAAAACCATTGTTAGGTACATCTGATGGGTGGGAAACCACAAAAACACTTCAGATGGGCTGGTAAAGAAGGTAAAATTACCCTCACATGCAAATTCTTCATGTTCATAGTTCTTATCTTTACAAAATATTTGTCAATATGATGTACAATGAGATACCTGACGAGAGGCTAGCAGTGACGTCATGAGGCACATATGAGGCGTCCAGAACAGCTTGAGGCGCATGATGAGGACAGCCATAGCAGTGAAGGCCAGCAGCTGGAACAGGTGGTACACCAGCTACAAGGTAAATTACATGATACAGGTGGTAAACCAGCTACAAGATAAATTACATGATACAGGTGGTACACCAGCTACAAGGTAAATTACATGAAACAGATGGAACACCAGCTACAAGATAAATTACATGATACAGGTGGTACACCAGCTACAAGATAAATTACATGATAGAGGTGGTACACCAGCTTCAAGGTAAATTACATGATACAGGTGTACTCCCATAACATGAGAGGCCGCTGGTCGGCCTTTTTTCAATCGGATATGATTTTGCCGACTGAGACCTCTCATTTCCGAAGCACGAATTCTATGATGCAGTTTCCGCCCGAATACCGGGCGGAACAAAATCGACTTGAAAAACTCACAGAAGTGGTTAACAGCTCATGACAACGATGTCCACTCACGGTTTATGTAATATAGATCTCATATAAATGTCACAGACACAAATATATAGTATATTACGGAATAGAACACTCAAAATACATGTCCATGTCGTTGTAGCACATCTCTGACCTACATTTAAAACATGGCTTCTGGATTAATACAAAATATCAGCGGGGATTTCAAACGGAACGAAATGATACGGAGTTTGTTTGTATTCCGCTTGTAAAACATTCCATGTAATCCATTTTTGTATTAACCGGAAAAATCATGGCAAATGCTGTCTGCTTCGCTTCGAATGAGGAAAAACTCATTATTTATGTCTTTGACATGAATTTTTCTCATAAAATCATGGATTTATGGAAAGGAATATTTATTGGACTATTTTGACCATTTAAATGTATGTAAACACGATATACTCTTTCTGAATCCGAACTTTGAAAATGTGATAGTCAGCATCGGGAAAATCAGCTATGGGCAGTTAGAGGTTACGCGGCGCCTGTCAAAAGTTTTTCGCCGTGTAAAACCTCTAACATTGTTGGAGTAGATACAGGTGGTACACCAGCTACAAGGTAAATTACATGATACAGGTGGTAAACCAGCTACAAGATAAATTACATGATACAGGTGGTACACCAGCTACAAGGTAAATTACAGGATTAGGTATTGCTCCAGAAACCATGTCTGTTATAATACTCAGATTTGGGTATACATTTGTAGACAATAAATAAACATTTTCTTTATTATCAAATTCTCAAATTCCAGTGTTGGCATTTATTTTGTTCAGACTACTATGGAAAGGAAATTAGCTATAAGTCAAGTTCACATCAAGTTTAAGTCAAGTCCACTAAAAGTGCCACGCCCACTAAAATTAGAAGCCACACCCACTGGAAGTGTAAGCAATGCCCACATGAAGTTCTAATCAGCAAGGCTTTACCAAAAGTCAGTGAAGTGACATTAACATGACAGTGTGACATGATGTTACCTCCCAGCAGCTCAGTGTTTGCATATCAATTAATTTATATATCCAAGATTTCTGTCAATAAGAATGAAATATTTTATTCAGAAACCTTATTCAACATGTGTGACGGGAATATATAACTAGCTTTGAAGTCAGGTGTCAGCCTTAGTGATTAATCACAACATATTCCAAAGGTGCAGAGAGCAGAAGTGAGCGTAACCCCTGGAGTATAGCAGATGGTGTCTCCCATAGGTTAAATAATTTGCCAATATATTAACCCCCTGAATGAAGTAAATACTGGATCAAATATTTTATGGCCAAAAAAAACATTTTAAAGCTTTGTAGGATTTCAAAGAATCATTAAGTTCAGAATCTTTCTTGCACAAACTTTTCATCTAATCAACTCCTGATTTGGTAAAGTTGTTTTACAAATTCTAAATACCAAATCTCTGACCCAGATTTTTCGATTTCCTCTCCAAACTTAAATGATTGCTATGTAACAAGATACATCTTACAAAAGGTGAAAACCACTTATGTCATCCCAATGTTTAATAAGAAATAATTAAATCCAGATAAGAGAAACTAGAGATAGTAATCTATTCTGAATTATGTTGTGAACATATTACAACTAAACTTTTTTTTGTTGGGGAGGGGGGGG